GTCTCCGCCCTACCTCGCAAGAGATTTTGTTTTAAATTTATATTCATTGATTTTGTTCATCTTTTGATCTTTGATGCTTTGGGCAATTGAGGAGAAAAATTTTACAAACATCACTTTAATTAAGTAATAGATTCACAAAAAGTAGATAAATTTATCAACAGTTAGAGGCCCTATTATTTTTTGTTCCGCATAGGCTTGCCCTTATTCTCTTGTTGGTTTGCAGCTTTGCCTTTTGCTTTGGGAGCTCTTGGATAGTAGCCGAGGGTGTTTGGCTGTTTGCAGAGCATAAGGATTCCTAAGAAAATAAAGCAATATGAGAATTCCTTTTTGATGCCTCCAAAACAACAAAAATGAACAAATATATATATATATATATATATTCCTAAAAATCTTTAGCTGGCCTTGACCACGTGAGTTTAGATGTTAAGCATGCCACTTGCTTTGTCTAAAAACAAGAAAACAAGATTTTCCAAATGATCATTCTCTTTTCTAACGGTCGACCTTCAATAGGATGGCTAGAAAGAATGTCTATGAAATAAATTGTATCCAGACGATGATACAAAACAGAAGGTGAAGTTCTGAAAATTGGATTACTAATTGTTTTGAAAATCTCACTTTACAACCACATAAGTGTAATAAAAGCTACAAATCCTAAAATTAATACAAAATCCTAAAGCAATTAATTTAACATGAGATCAATAAAAGAAAACAATATGCCACAAAAATAAAACTCGCAAACAACAAAAAATGTAAAATCACAAACAACGATTTTCACTACACAATCCATAACAATTAAACTAATTACTTACAGATTTAAAATAAAAATAACTAAACTATTTGATAACTACAACTAAATGAGAGTCTATGAAATAATTAAAGTCTGGAAACTTGTAAAATTAAATTTGGAAATTGAAATTGAGTAAACTGCAGGTCAGACAGTTACGCAAATACAAGGAAAAGAAGATAAAAAGCATTTAACATATTTACATGAACAAATAATATAGATGAATACATAAGAGAAAGAAGAACTAACCAAATCAACAAGGCAGACCTGTTTTGCAGGCTGAATTGCTTCCAAATGCTTAAAAACTAAGTTAAATTGAAATCTTTGAGGAAAGATATGAACAAAGTTGGAAAAACCTAAACTAAGGCTATGAACAAGAATATATCTTACAAACTAATTTGGAAATTATTGCTAAAATCTGGAAAAAGCAATCTGAAAGTTGAAAAACATATGCTCTGGGCAATGTGTGTAGGGGCAGGCCTGTTTTGTAGGCTAAATTGCTTCCAAATGCTTAAAAACTAACCTAAATTGAAATTTTTGAGGAGAGATATGAATAAGAAAGGAAAAACCTAAACTAAAGCTATGAACAAGAACAAATCTTGCAAACTAATCTGAAAACTATGCTGAAATCTAGAAAAAACAGTCTGAAAATTGAAAAACATATGCTCTGAGTAGTGTGTGTAGGGCAGGTTGTCTGGAACTGATTTTTTCTTCTTGTTTTCATTTTCTTCAGTGCTGGGAAACCTCCTCCATGTTTCTTGGCCCTCTCCCACCATGATCGAGTAGTGGGGTTCTATGTCTGGCAGATATTTGGCAGTTGACAGTTTTTATTCAATCTTATCTCCAATAAAACCCTAGGGATAACCTCCTCCTAAAAACTTTCAACTTCTTAACTTAAATCAAACTCAAACACCAGAAATTATTTTATCTTCTACCACCTAAAATCCAGCTTCTTTAAAATTCTGTTTGGGCCCTTAAACTGTAAGCTAGCCCAACCCAAATCCAGCTTGCTAACTTTTCTTGATAATTGGCTTCAACTTGACCTGTGACCTTCTCTCATTGATTTATTTTTAGGTGTAAACATATATATATATATATATATATATCTTATGAGTCTACATGTATGTGTTTGAATTTTGGAAGTAGCATATATAGTAAGCCATAATAAGAAATGACAAATTGACATCAAATTCAAGTAATGTATTAAGTTATATTTATAGTGACAGTACAATTTAAAAAAATAACAGACATAATACTGTAGAAGTATATGCATTACAAATGATGTATTTGATGCTAGTGAGCATTGGTCAATCACAACTTATATTAGGAATATATTGACATCTATCACTTAACATGCCATTAGTAATTTAAATTCCTTTTTCCTCTTTCTATTCCTCAGTCTTTTGTAGCTTCACCTTCCTAAGTTTTTAGATTTAAAATTTTATATGATCTTAATATATATATATATATATATATATATATT